GCCAGAGAGTCAGGTGCAAACAAGGCCGCCGTTCCCAAAAATGAAAAGACAGCAGGAGGAACGAAAAGACCACCACCAACAGAAGACATTCAAGGATGACTCCAGACCGGAGGACGCCAAGACCAGCCGTCCAGGGGAAAAACGGAAAAGACGGCAACCCAACGACTACCACTCCAAATGCCAGCATGCAGAGAGCGAAAAAGAAAAAGTAACGTGGATGACACTCGGAGGACACTAAGGAGAAGACTGACGTCGATGAAACCTATAACGTGGGAGCAGTTCTGCCAGAAAAGGATGTCGGAGTTCCAATCATCGAAAACTCAAAGATAAGTTAAAATCTTCTATATTTTTTTTTCTTTTGTTCCGAAATGTTATGCGTAAATACGAAGTTCTATGTTTTGACGGAAGTTAATGTGTCTCGGTTGAGACTTAGTTTTGTTTTACTTTATTTAGCTAAGACAAAAGTATTATTTTCTTTAAGTATAAAATCTAAGAACAAGCAGTTTCTGTTGGTCGAAAGACTAATTCTGTTATGTTAAGGCCAAAATTTAGCCGAAGATAAAAATAACTTCGTATTCTTGTATTAATAAGAACTTTTAGTTTCAGTGCCGCCAGCTTGGCGAAGAATGAGTAAAGTAAAAATTTATTTTTCTCTTATTCATTTTATGGTAAATTGTAAAAATCATATGTATTAGAATTTTGTAAATATACGTAAATACTTCAAAAGTTATGTAAAAGTAGAATTTAGTCTAGAAGCATAAAATTTTAGATGCTAAAAATAAATGCTCAAAAGCAATGAATTTAAATTTAAGTATTAAACTGTAGATAAAATCATGCTTTAGAGCGAAAGCCTGCATGTCTAAAGATGAATGAGGGGGAAGTTAGAATGAATGTGTTTTGTAGGGTTCTCCACCTACACTTGAATTTTAAGAATATTAAAGTAGCTCATCGAGTTGTAGAATGTCGAGTAAGGTGTATCTATTTGGTCGTTGAATTCTAACAACTTGTGGTTAGGGGAAGTGTTGCAATACTAAAACACGAATATTCCCGTTTGACACTACACATGGTGGAGAGCCAGGGTAAAGTTAAATTCATGTTTGAATACTTGAATGAATGTGAATTAAACAGTAACTAAGGAAAATAAATCGTTCAAAAACAAAAACTTATTCAGTGTCAAGAAAGTGTAAATTATAATGTATGTAGAAAGATACTGATACTTATTCCTTCCAGGTGCTGGAAGGAAGAGAACAGATTGATTGCTGAAGTCCGGAAAAGTTTGCTGTAAGAAGAGAGAATTAAATAAGTATCTACAGAAATTTATTCTACCTTTTGTGACATAAGATTTTTTTTTTTTATGTAAACGAGGCTCTTAAAATTTAGTTCAGAATTGTGGAAAACTTTCAACAGGTCGTTTCTAGACCTGCTTCCAAGTTTTCCAAATTCTGGCAGCGGCAAATGTAGGGTTTATATTTATTTTAACTAACATTTATTTTAAGTTTAAACTATCTTTCCTGTCAAAGCCTTACTTTCCCCTGGAATTGCCAATGCCAGAGTATGTAAATTTTAGTAAAAAGCGCAAAGGATTCAAATTGTCAGCGGAAGTAATTCTGAGTTAAATAGAAGGGAAACGAGTTCGAAAGGGGTGCTTTCTTGCTTCACGAGCGTGAAGGTGGCTAGTTAGAAATTGAAGAACCACGCGTTTCGGGCCTGTGTGCTTGCCTCGGCAGATTGTTAATCTTTCAACGTAATATTCAGAAGTTTGCTGAATTATCAGCGGTATCTTAGAACGCGGTGAGGTTAGTTACGTTTAGAGAGCCTCGTAGTTAGTCACTTGTTATTATCTTTTTTTAGTTTCTTATTTTTATTTTACCGCCGGGTCGGCGTAGTTTTTGTGAGCGTCAAGAGCACGCATTTGTAATTTCTAAAGTTGAATAAAAAGGGATTTAAACCCTTCTCAAGACTTTGGTCTATTTCCAGTTCTCAGGTCACCACTTTGTTGCGTGCAGGTTGGAAGCGCGCAACTTTACAAGTTCATGAAATTTATGCATTTGTAGATTAATTCATTGTTGCCTTGTCACTTAGCAATGATATCTGGCAAAGCCTCCGTGACAAATTTTCCGTATTTATTACTTTACACGCTTTTTTTGCATGTTAGTTTATTTTTAATGGCATAGATTTTTTTTCGCTCGTATGTTATATATTTTTGCCAGTAATCAAATAAGCAAAACTACTTTTTATTAAATTTGACTTTCCTTTAGTTAAATATTTTATAATTAATTTAATAATATAATGATAATAATATATTTTATAATTGATATCTTTAATTTATAATTTTATAGCATTTTGTATGCTGACAGGAACTTCATCCAAATAATTTGTACGTTTTCAAAGTCTAAAAATACGTTATGAATATTCTCATGGAGTTATATTACCTTAGAATCATAATCTTTTAAACGTAAAAAAATTCATTAAAATACAAAAATTTTTCATTTCTAATTAATGGAAACCATATTACTTTGTCTTTGTGACAATATCGAAGACTGCTAATGCTTTTCAGAATACGAATTCTGTAAGATTCTGTGAATAATATCACCATTTGGGAATCGGAAGGGTCATGAACGACCCTTCCGATTACCATTTGTTTAAGTCCATATAGTATGGCCTTTCCGAACAAAACTTTACATCTTTTAATGATCTCGAAAACTGGCATCATGAAAGGATCACCTCAAAAGAACCTGAAATTTTTAATCGCGGAATCCATTTGTTACCCGAAAAATGGGAAAATATTGTACCCGCCGAAGAACACAACTTTCAATTAATTATCTTATACTATTCTATTAAATAAATATGTTTTTATGTCTAACAAACAGCGAGATCGTTTATTTAAACATGATACCTAAATTCTTTTCTATTACTTGATCATTAATCTGTGTGAATTAGTTTGTAAATACATTAGGCTATTTCGAGGCCGGTGAGATGAAAAATTAGCAACGCCTTCGCCGGGAATCGAACCGCGGACCTCTCAATTACGCGCTGAGCGTGCAAACCACTACACCACGAAGGCTAAGACGATGGGAGAAATACCTTATATGTTGATGGCTTCAATCCGAGAAGCTTCAGAAAAGTACTATAACCTCTGTTTTTGCTAATAAACCTTTAAGGTGAGGATTTAAATGCATTTTCTGAAGCAATTTCTAAACTTAGTTTTATCGCTTACACCACTGTTATCTGGTATTTCCCCATTATTTTCGATTGCATCGCTTACTTTTATTAAGATCCTTTTCAATGGTTTGTGCTTAGGACGAATTATGGCTGCGGTTATAGTGTCTTAACGGAGGTTCTAGAATGCCTGACAACTTCTAGAGTATTTTGTCTTACCTAACAACAGGCAATACTGGGGGGATCTATTTATTCTGTACTTTCTTTTCTAGTTTATATATGGCTTAAAATTACATTAAAACTACAAATTCTGTTTTTGCAGGAGAAACCTCTGAGGTAAACCTTTCTTCTCAAAACAAGGAAACTAAGAGAAAATCAATCAAACGAGCAGAAAAGAATCCTTCATCGAGTGAGGTAGAAATGACCTCTGCTCAAATTACTCAATCAACATCTGAAGAAGGATAAGAAGCTATTAAAATAATGACAACCTTTCTAGATAAAATCAAAAAGAGAAGTTCCGGAGCCCCCAAAAAAGAAGCGTACCCGAGAATTGAAAAATGCCAAAGGTACTTTGGTTCAAAAATCTGAAGTTCCCTTGGTGAAAACATCCGAAGGTGAAAAAAAAGCAATCTCAAAATGACGAAGCAGAATACAGCCCCGAAACTGCCGAAAGGGACAGACCGGAAGGTTTTACCTTCAGGAAGGCTCTTGTGGTGGTCAAGATAGCTGTACTCATTGAGGAGCATCATCCTGGAAAACGTTTATCAGAGGAACAGGCTACTTACCTTGAACTTCTGATAACGTTGACTACTTTAGGTATCCTAACTACTAAAGAGTTACACCTGATCTCCATTAAGGGGCTGCTAGACTTTATAAACAAAGTGGGTGACCCAAACAAATGGAGCTAGGGAGCTTTTGGTTTGGCGCATTTGCCACAAAGTCTTGTTTAAAAGCAGAGGTGCCTGATAACTTATACACTCAATCTGAGGAAGAAGAAGATGCGCTCGAGATGGTGATAGTTTAAAATAATAGAGCTCTCACGGTTACAGTTACAGTGAAAATATTTTGAAATGTTTAAATGGCAACGCCCACGTTTTTCCTGCACAATTGATCAACGCATTAAAAAAACATAATTAGGGTTGGAATGATACACGTATGAAAAACATTTCCGGCGTAAAACATGCCCAGATTTTGCAACGCGAAGACGCCTTGGCTAATTTTTTCCTTATCAGATATGATGAAGACAGCAGGTGGCCGCTGCGGATAGGATGGACGGATGAGAGACATTCTTTCTTAACTGGCAGCGTAAACTCCAAGAACTGGGTTCACTGGGCTGAAGAAAATCATCACGGAGTGGCACCAGCGCTCTTACACGAAACTAAAATGGCTGTGTGGTGCAGCACAGCAAGTATATTCGTTCTCGGTTCGTACTTCTTTCAAGAAGTCACTTCCACAAGAATTAAAACATGTTCCATGGCAAGCCCTCCAACAACAACAATGTTGCAGATTGCAACAATGCAGCAATGTTGCAGAATTATGTAAATCCAGAATTGCAGCAGCGAAATGTCATTAACGGCATTGTATAGACGCAAGATGTTGCTCCTCCACACGTCGCTACATGTGTTCGGCAAATGCTGCAGCAGCACTTTGGAGATAATCATCTCCCGTAACTTTGCAATTTCGTGGCCATACGCGTAAAGTTTCAACGCCATTTATGCTTTTTCAATGCGCTGATCATTTTTGCACAGGATAAAATGTGGATGTTGCCATTCGAAAATTTCGAATTTATTTCACTATAACCTAACCATGAGAGCTTTATTGTTTCAAATCATCACAATTTCGAGTGTATGTATACCTTCAAATAACAATACCTGAAATTTGTTTCGATTGGCTGAGTGGATAGGCCACTAGGGGATCATATATCAGTGAAGTTTTTATGACCATCTTATTCTTTTGCTTTGCAATATTAAACTTACGTACGCAGCATAATTCAAAGTCAATAACATGTGCTTCATCATTTTTTAAACATATTCAGTTCAGAGTCCATGAAATCTGAAGTCATCTTTATATATGTCGTATATGAGAATCGGAATGAATTTATCATAAAACCTTATACTTTCTTATTGTTTTATCTCTTTCAGGAGAAGTATGATTTTAAACTGTCAAGGAAATCTACAGATATTTCCTTTTGATAATCCCAAGTGTCCTTTCGCTATAGAGAGCGGTAAGTAATAACACTTCTTTATTTTTTACTATTTTCCTGATTACAGCATTGTATGAATGAATCTGATTTGGAACTGTGTGATATTACACGCATAAACCACAGAAATTAAAACTACAACCCAACTGAAAGTGAAATTACTCAATATTTCTGTGGGAAGAGAAGTATTGCAAATTACGATTACACATTACTTACTTTTATAATTTTGTGCGTTAAGGGTTTAACAAATCATGTAAATTAAAATTTTTCATAATACTGAACGACAAGAAAAGTGTTATGATAACATTAAAAATGACTCTTTTAAAAATATATTATTAAATTCTCTCACAAGCTTTTGAAATTCACAATCTTTCTGATATTAAATTATACCTGATTCTTGATAACATGTTTGTGAAAGATGTGCACTTGAGGAAAAGTGCATATCTTACGTTTAAGAAATATTCCTTCAAAAATTGTTATCAACTTATTCATTAATCTCTTGTTAAATTGATTCCAATTTAAAATTTCATTAACAGTCAATATTCAACCAACCTCATGTCTTTCAGCATTTTGGTATAGTGTATTTACCTAAAGAATTTCATATTTAAATCTAAGCAATACAAAACAGTATTATCTAGAACCATTGGAGTAAAGCGAGGTGGAATGTGACCTTTTAATCTAGATGTATGAATAATGTGGTAATTAATCTCTGTAAATATTATATTTGTCAAATTTACCAAGTTTTTTATGGTTTCAAGAAAAATGTGTTATTTCGTTTTTCGCGCTCTTAGCCAGACAAAAAAACTGATACTTATATTGATAATTTTACTAAAAAAATGAAATTATATTTTTAGTAGTAATTCACTAAATAATCAAACAGCACTTCTTTGGCTCTTGTTGCAAATAACAAAAGGAAAAGCACTATTAATTTTACTGCAAGAATGGAGATAATTCATAATGCCGTTATTCTACGAAATGCTTGGTTTAAAATTCACAAAAACCAAAGCGGGAAGTAATACAGATATCAAATACATGAGAAACCAAAACTTGCAGAAAAAAAGGTTAATGTTTTATTTCGGCTCTTATTGCAAAAACAAAAGGGAAACCGCCATCAATTTTACTGTAAGAAGGAAGGTATGCAGGTATACTATGATATATTCACAAAAACAAAGCGGGAAGTATGCATGGATATAAAATATACAAGAAAGGAAAAACTTCAGAAAAAAATGTTTAATATTTCATTATACTTTAATACATGTGCATATTATTTTATAACTTTTAAGAACTGTATTTTTAATGTCATATTTTTAAAGAATTGTATTTTATAATACCACAAAATATTACAAAATACAGTTCTTCAATAAAGGAGCCTTAAGTGTTTCATCTTCCCTTACTTTAATTTATATTTAGAAAAATAATATTTGGTTATCTTCATTTTAAAGTTAGATTATGTCACTGTCTTTACAAAAATACCATATTTTACAATGTTAAAATCAGCTTTTCATTTTAATTCCAATCTGGCATTTTGTCATACAAGTAAAACTTTCTTATAACTAAAACTCTGATGACTGAATGAAAGAATACGTAATATAATTAAGGTTGTACTTTAAACAGAACTGCGCTTTTCTAAATAATTATGGAATTTTCTATAAAAGTGTATGATTCTTTTATATCTTCTATAAAAGATCTGAAGAGAAGAAAATTCACGAAGATGCCAAATCAAAACAATGTGAACCCGTGAAGAAAATGTGACAAACGAAACTTTTAGTGCTTCAAATTTCATAGATAAATCAATTTACTAAGTACTGAAATAGCAGTAGAATTTTCTTCGAAAAATAAAACTATACACAAAGAAATTTTTTTTTTTTTTTTTTTTTTTTTTTTTTGTTACATGGCCACGAAATGCAGTTTCCACTTTCAAGCTACAAATTGGAAGTTCTTAAACTTTATGCCTGACGCATTCCTACTATCAAGGTTTCCATAGTAACTGAAAGCAGTTGTTTATTCTTTCCATATCGACGCACCTGTAGCTTTTAGAGAAGACTGGTTTTAGATAACATACATTTTCAGCAAAAATTTAAGTTTTGTATTATTGTGTTGAAAAGCTGGATATGGTCTTGGAAACATGGGTAAAAAAAGGATAAATAACTTTATCAGCATTATTAGATTTAATTATATTGCTTTCTAAATTACTACACTATCCACACCGTGAAGAAAAAAGTAGAACCTCCCAAAACATTAATTCAGAAGTCAAACAACAAAAATCAGCGTTATATTTACAAAATTTTCACAGACTAGTTTCGATGGTTTTACCGAACCATCATCTTCAGCTGCAAAACCGCAAATGAATGTTTCATTTGCTAACCTTCCATTAATTTTAATGCAATCTGGGGGGGGGTGCAAATCGAATTTTAACAAAAGTTTACTTCTATTTCTTATACCTGTTAGTGATTTTGCCAGGTATTTGCTAAATGAGTTGTAATAATATTTAACTCTTTCCTGCGCATTCATGTTTTAAAGAAGTAATTGTTAAAGTATGTTCTTAATTTCCGTATTTAATCTATAAATCTGTAAAGTTGATTCCCGGAAGCTAGTATAGAAAGCTGATGCCCCTTTAACAGCGCAACGTCGAATCCTAATTAAGCATCCATGAGAAGTTCTTGGCCATTTTACATTTGAGTGTCTAAACATTAATTTTCAACGTTGACACGGAAGCATTTTAAATAAAAGCAGATGATTAAGCGCAAATATTTGAATATGCAAATTGGGTGATCTCCATAGGGACGACTATTTTACATGTAAGGATCAATATCTGCTTTAAACAAGCCATTAGGCCTAATCAACTTCGAAATGGCTTAAGGACGAAAGAGACCACAATTAACGCTGCTACACAGCACACTTGACTGTGTAGCTGTAAAATACATAAATGAAGGAGAGACATATCGCTGCATTTATGTGAATGACTTGTTTACATACTTAAACGCTAGCGCTTGATACAAAATTCTAGAAAATATGGAAGCGAAGATAATTTTTGAAAATAAAAAGTAGCTACTTTTCTGTAGATGATCTTGCATTTCTTCCACGTAAATGTTTTCGTACTTCCCTGTTGAATCTCCACAGATTCAAATTTTAGAACCCACCTAAAATATACTGAACGTTAGCTAGAAGAACATTACTATTTAGATTTAAGAAGGAACTACTAGTTAGATTAGAAAATAATGGGTAAGCAAGAAAGTAATTCGGGTTTTAGTAGGAAATAAAAATCAATCTTTTCTATATAAAACTGAATTTTAATCAATGAAATATCATTCATTCTATTTGATGATCCTTCTGGTATCTTCACGATTCCGCGCTTCTAGAACTTCTGGTCTTTATCCAGCAAAACATTCATCATGTGTAGTTTGAGATCATCGTTATTATTGAAATTTTTGCCATTTAAGAAGTCTTGCACATTTTAAAATAAAAGATATCCGAAAATGCAAGGTTGTGGCTATACAAGGGATCACTTTATGACCAAGCGCCAATAATTTCGTACATGTTACTATAGATGTATGAGGCGTCGCATTGTCCTGGTGGAACACGATTTCTTTGAGATTTGACAATTCTGGTCTTTTCTCTTTGATTGCTTTCTACTATTTCATGAATTTTTGGCAGTAACATCTGAGCAAATCGTTTGTTTGTTGCTTGGAAGCAGCTCAAAATACACAACACCTTTGCAATCCCACCAGACCTTTTTCTGATGCAATTTAGCTTAAATGATTTGTGCTAACTCATCATGCTTGGACGATGATCATTTTTATTAATATGATGATTCATATTTCATCACCAATTAATATTTCATTTCAGAAGAGGGTCGACTGCATTATGTTTTAAATGCGTTTCGCAAATATTGATTCGTAGCGTTAAATGAATTTCTTTCAATTCATGCGAAATCCATAAATCGAGCTTTTTAAAGAGTACAAGACACCTTATATTGTTTTGAATTGTTACGTGTGACACATGTAATCTTTTTGCTATCTCTCGTACAGTTATATGACGATTCGATTCAATTATGGCTTTAATTTTGTCGTCACGAACTTCAAAAGAACAGCCGGAACAGACGTCTTCAAGTGACAAGCCACCAGAACGAAATTTTTTTAACAAATTATGCCCATGCATTCTGTTTTGCTTTTGTAATAACCTAAAAGTGTCAATTGCGAAATCTCAAAAGAAACAAATTATTAATTAAGATAATAATTAAGATTGATAGAAGAATAACAAAACAAGCATAACTCTATCTGTTGGGCAAACCGGAACTTCTTTCTGATTAACCCAGTATCAGTCCAATCTTTCTCATCCTGATATCTAAAAAGATATCAGAACTAAACCTCTCTCTTTACTTGCTTTGTAAACATGAACTGTCCTGACACGGAACAGGGAGCTTACTCAAGCTATGTTCAATAAATTGTGAAGTAGACAATACACACAGGAAGGGTATACGAAACCCTTTATTTTTCTATCTTTACAGAGGTTTTCGGACTTCGGGATACAGAGACCAACCACTTGTGGTCTGAACGTAAGAATATAAAACTACTAACTAAAACTTTAACTAAAACTAACTTTGGATTAATATACAAGTGCCTAACTTTAAGACTGGCTGTTATTTAACAAAATCCGTATGTAGTACAGAGAACTGCTAAAACTACGATACGTTTAAAATTATCAAGAGGATTAAACCTCTGGCCTTGAAGGCAACCAGCAACTGAGTAAAACTGCTATAGGCAAGCGGCCCTGCTCCTAATCACTCCCTTCCTCTCTCTTGCTTGGCAAAAAGCCACAACTTAAATACTTAAGCGTTAGCAAGACAAATTTGCATAAATAAGTTAACGCTTTTAATTCTGGCCGGAAGTAGGAAAATAAGAAGTGATAGTAAAGATTTTAAAAATAAAATAAACGTTAGTAAAATTTAAGATCCTTACATACTTCCCGCCAGAGTTAATTAGTTTGAAACTGAGGTCTAAAACGACCTTGTTGAAAACTTTTAG